CCGTGACTTTCATTGGGGTACTCCATTAGTCTCTATGTCTCCTACAGAAATGGTGGTTGCCAGCTTAAACCTATGGATGTCTACATGCTTCAATTTTTGTCCGAAAGTATCTGTACCAAATGAAACCAAGCCAGATGTTCAGCCTGCAATGAGACAACAGCAGCATGAGGATGAGCATATGGCATTCCAGTTCTTACTTGCTAGCAGAAATCCAGCAGAAATTATTAACTAGTTTGTTTCAATATGAACAACTTCATTAGGCCAGTGCAACCTTTACACATTCATACCTTCACACCAATGCAAGGCTCTCAGCCTCTCTTCCAGAACACTTACCTGACAGAGATTGTGTTATTTGAAAAAGTCCTCATATGAAGGAATTTGGCTCAATAACGAATTCATATTCTACAGTTCAAACCAAACTTACTAGGATTTTCTTACTGCTTTACATTAAGAGGATATTATCTGGTCTTTTTTTTTTTTTTGGCAAAGAAAGATACTACTGTATATACTTGATCCTTCATTTGGATTCCTGCCTTCTGATATTTAGATAAACATAATTTAATACACCAGAAATATTTAATGTTTTACAAAGAGCTTCAGTTCACATTTGGTGGAACTTCTTTTGCTAACCTGTGTGCAAAAGGATTCTTGTATGAGAGGAACCAGTTCGGGCTCCACACGAGCAGCTGTTAATGTAGGCACACATTCAAGCACGCCGTTGTCTGAAATAGCAGCGCTCTAGACATTGAAAGTCAAGAAGGCCAGCTCAGGTTGCAGGGCTGCATGGCCACCCCTATGCCATGGTGTCATCACCAGCCAGTGAAATCCTCCTCCTGCTAGCAGGCTGTTACTGGTCACTCCTCACGCTTCTTACAGGCATTAGGATTGGCCTTTAAGCAGTGATTCATGAAGGTACCACACTGCTCTGCCTCTCTTGCTGCTGTCTTGGCTCACTGCATTCACTTCCCTCCTGTTTTCTGCAAACCACCACACAACAAATTCTGTTCCAAACGTCTCCCCATTTTTCCTTATCCAGAAGGTAGTTTAAAATCACAGACAGAAAGAACGTGTCACTTGAAGCCACAGCTGTGACTTGTTCTTCCACTTGTTGTTGACTTTAGAAGAAATCCTGATTTGTTGATTTTTAGTTGTGGCAATTTCCAGTAGATTTCCCATTCCCTTGGCAGTAATGAAGAACAATCGGTTTGTCTCATCACAGTCATTAGGAAATGCTTATTGCTTAACGCTTAGTTACAATGATTTACAAACTATAAACGCCTACAGCAGAAACACATTTTTCAGGGTTCTGCACACAGACTGCTTCAGCTGCAACACCAGAGTGTCAGTTCTGCTTTGTGTGAGAGCACAGGCTGCACCACATCACTGTCAGATGGAGACTTCCAGTTTTCATCTCAGATTTCTGTAACAGAGTGACCGCAGGAACACTCTGCTCCTTGGCAGTGAATTCCCAGCAAAGACCTACCAATTGGTTGCATTTGTCTCCCAATACTGTGTGTCTTAGAAGTGTTCCTCCTTTGAAGCATTTGCAAGAGCAATACAAAGATGTCAGGCAACACAAAACTCAGCCAAAGCACTTGAATAAGTTCAAGATAACAGGTGAATCACACTACCCTCTGAGTGCGGGTACAGAATTATCTCTACTGCCACCAGAAATTAATTGCATCATGTTAACAGAGATTTGAGATTCATGATTCAACATCTGCACCTGCAGCAACTTGCTGCAAGTTTCAGCACTTGCAGGGAACTGTGAGTTATGAAACTGTGCAATGACATTTGAATTCTTCCAGAAAGCCCCAACACCAGGGATGAGAAATGCAGCAACAATTTGCAACAATTTCTACATCATTCTGGATGATTTAGGAAAGTGCATCCCAAGTAACCAACCCCCAAGGATTAACGGTGAAATGTAAGAAATGAACACCGAGCGAAGAAAAAGCACTCTGATGTAATTCTCACGTCATTTAAGACTTATTTTAATCACCAATGCAAATCTGAGTTAAACAAAGAGCTGGCTTCAGCAACAGGAACAACTTCAAAAACAACTGGCTTAGAGAATCAAGTTAGCTTGTGTGTCAGCCGAGGAAGAAATCAGTTCTGTTAAAATTCAACTCCAGGTAACATTTAAACATATGCTAGACTTGCAAATTCTGAATGTGATGACATTACCCATTTTTTTTTGAGTTTGCAGAGAGTTTCAATTGCAATTTGCACCTTTAGTATTACTTTAAAATGATGTTATGGAATTTCTGAATAAATTAATTTGCATTTCTCTAAAGTACTATGACCAAACACATTTCGATTAGAAAATCAGCTACCTAGCTAACTAGCCCATCTACAATAGATGGTCAAGGTGATAATTTTGACTTACTTAAGTTATTAAAAACAGACAGAGAGATGGCTCATGCTAAAAATCAATCTTCAGACCAGCTGCAGAGCCCAAAAACTGACTAAATCTTCTGTTTCAATAATTTAAAGTGCAACAACATTCTTTCTCTCATAGCAGCTTTCCATGATAGTACTCCTCACAGTGCCAGGTACGTCCAGTAATGAAATACCTGTCGTATTGTTGCAACCAGAAACACCCCATGACAGTCACAGAAGAGATCATCCCCTTCCACAAAGCAAACTACCAATATGAGGGAAAACAGAAGCCCTTGAAGATAAAAATATATGGTACATGAACAAGCTACTACAATGTAAGACAGGTGTGGAATAACTGTGAGCGCAGGGACAGCCCACTGCAGTACAGCCTAAATGCATCTATTTTACACTCCAGTTTACCTTGCATGATCTTGTCCACCAAGTTTTATAACACTGGAAAAAATTACTTCATCCGTCCATGATCATTTCCCCTCTCAATTACTTACTCTGTTTTAGCTCATAAGCTCGAGAACAGCTTGAAACAGCAATCTGCCTTGGATTTGAAGAATGCTTTAGCAAAATGGAGTCCCTAGATCAAGGTATGCAGACTGCAACAATAACTAAATAAATCTTACTGACCTATAGACAATCTGAACAATCTATGCCATTATGCTCTAACAGTGAAACTCCTTATGACAACAGTTTCAAGAGGAAGCAGGCTAAAGTCTGTTCCTGTAGGAAAGACAGATTGTATTCCTTGGAATCTAGTGTAAAGGAGGTAAATTAATTCTTTAGAATCAACCTTTGAAAAGGAAGATGTTAATGTTTACAGGTATATTGAAAGGCAGAGCTGCCCTTTTTCAGTAACAGAGGTATATCCAGATCAAACTCCTCTTGTAGTCAGATGTTTATCACATCCTTATTTCAAAGAGCAGCAGTCATTACACAGTGAATTTCAAACACTGCTTTGGATCTCTTTGGGTTTAAAAAGTGAAAATATGTTAATTTGGAACATACACACAATTTTTTCAGACCTTTTCAATGCACAGCTCTGAAGCTGCATAAGCAGCTGTTGCATACAGCATAAGCAAAGTACAGCAAAGTAGGAAAGGCTACTTGAGGCTCAAGCTTTGTTTTCTTGGTTATATTTTGCACCCCTTTATAGATAATCTTAAATCTCGAGGGACCTCTTTAGCACAGGTTCAGTACCTGAAATCTTATGTAAGAGAGAGACAGGCCAGACAGCAACTTCAATTCAGTAACACCAGTGAAAATAAACCAGGCAAATCTAAAGAAACCATGCTCTAAAACCTCATTTATACTGAGAGCGTGGCTGCCATTTGTCTGGGTGGGAACCTCCACGCTTCTGAAAAGCTCATTAACAATGCACAACAACCAACCAAGCTCAGTAAGATGGGGTAGCATCATTACCATGCACTAATGTAATAACAAACAAAACCATATTTACTACATTTATTTATTTGTGGCATTCACCCATACAAGAATACAGTTACAAATTATGGAGATAGTACACACTGAGAGACGACATGATTATCCAAGACACAGTGTATTATTAACAGAAATGTACTTACTGAGAGAAGGGAATGTGATTTAGGTATCTAAGAGTTTATAACTCTCTGTTCATGACCAGACATATAATAATTGAAATATTCAGAAGAGGAGCATGCACTGGGGCCTTTTTTTGTTTGGTTTGTTGTATTCTCCCTCAGAGGCTTTCCTTCCTGCAGCACTGCAGCTGCTAGAAAAGTATCGTTTCATTAACCTTTGACTTAACAAATGAGATCAAGGATTATTCAGATGCAATTTAGAATGGGGCCCAGCTCAGTGAAGCCCATGTCACACATCAAAACACAGACAACAACCCTCTTTACTCAAACCCATAAACAAGACAGAAAAATACATGTGGTAGCAGAACAGAGAGATGTCGGTTACTTCTGCCAATACTTAATCATTTAAAATTTCTTAACTGTTATATGTTATTTAGCAACAATTCAGGAGTGGCTAAGTCAAAAAACAACGATTCATTAGGTTTGCAGAATTCATTTTGGTTGGGATTTTCAAGGCAATAGCAAGCAAGAGAGTCAGCTGTCTGATCAGCATGGGAGGAGAGAATCTGCTCTTTGAAAGCCTCCAACTTACTGCCTAGTACCTTTCTAGCTTTCATAAAAGAGTAACTGATTCATATCCCTAGGCTATTTACAAACAAAGGATGTCACAGCTAAGTACAGAATGGGTCAAGATTTCATTTAATTTCATACAATGTTCCTAAATAGTAACATTTAAAATCCTTTTATTCTGCATATTCAGAAAATAATCCATAAGCCTGTAAGTGTTGTCTGAAAACAACCGAAATGGAAAACAATTCTAGAAAGGAATCCTATGCAGTCGAGTCCTCTCCACAAACACAAAACCAATACTAATTGTATGGTTCACTCTGTCCCTGTGGGCGGAATAAGAAGTTATCCTTCATGACATATTTCACAATGACCTTACAGAATTATTATATACAGAGCAGAACACCTAAATCACTTTTTAATCACCCTCACAAAGAAAGGCTTGCTTAGTAACATTGCAACAAAAAGGCAAAATTTTCAGCCTAAGGCTGAAACAACTTTACTTCCAAAGCACAAAAAACAGCTTTGTTCTACAAGATTTACTTCAGGCAGGTATTAACAACATTAAATCCATGTAGAGAAGAAACATTACATTAACCTAATAAATAAAGGAGTGATCTACTCATTAAAGACACAGAAAAACTCAAACGATTTCTCATTCTTTTCATAAGCTAGCAGATATGAAGCTATGGAGCGGCATTAAAAGAACTACAAAGTTGCAGCTTATTACTGTCTATATATCAGTATGCATTATTATATTATCCAGATTTCTTGAGGAGGACTTACAAAAGAATATTTTTGTTTCAACCGGAGCACACACAAAAAAATCCAACAATAGATTTATCTCTTCATAGGGAAAATAAATCAAATTTGGTTCTGTACTAGGATATACTTCTTACGCCCAGGAATTTAGTATTTATTAGGAAAGGCCTTTTCTAATCATAATATTTTATCAACAGAGAGGATTATCTGCACATCTTATCTGCAAGTCAAGGTAAGTCAGAGGTAGCTTAGGAATGCTTTAGAATTTAGTGTTTTCCTTGAAATGAATGAATCCCTCTTTCAAAGGGGTTAATAATAAGTACAAAAGGCAAACAGTATCTACAGCTGCCACTGCCTGCACCAAGAGAATAATTCCAAGAAGCTCAAAATAACATTAGAACAGGGAAAACCATGGTGCACTTCTGCACATTTGCTTCAGTGCACCAGTTCAGGCTGGTTTTCTACAAAAGGAAGCACCCCACTAACATAGTACGCTATGCCAAGCGACAGAAGAGCAATGACAATGACGAGGAGCAGGACCCTCCAGAAGCCCAGGTCTTCCACAAACTCTTGCCACGTTGTCCGGAAACTGGAAAGAACTCCTTCACCTTGCTGTAGGTTTGGATTAAGGAGGGAATGGCTTTCCATCGCACTACAAAGGATTAAAGTTAAAAATACATCAGAGCAAAAGAATGTACCTTTAAGTATGACAGTAATCCTACTAAGAGCAACTGAAACATTCTAAATTAAAAACTACATCTAAACTACAGATTTATAGCATTGCCTCTGCTAAGTCAAGACAAAGCAGATCAGGAAAAGACTCCTAACTCTAAACTTACTTAGTTGAAAGGATGTTTTATTAACCTGTGTAAAAAGAATGCTATTTGTTTGTAGGCTTGCCACCTAGAAGACTTCAAAAGTCAGTTCTCATAATTACTACTAAATACAGCTTAGTAAACTTTAATGAAGCATAAGCTAAAACCTCAAGGGGCACAGCTCTTGTTAACAAATTATGATGTAAAAATAACCTCTGACTAATAAAATGGAAACTTTGACCAATATAATTTACGTTCTGAAATCTGTGGTGATCTTTACTACTCTTCTGAATCTCTTTGTTCCAGAGGCCTCTTCTCTAGCATAAAAACATCACAGAAAACAATAAATTTGGGTAACAAGAAGTTCAGAAACTTTCTGATCTTCAAGACAAATTGGCATTGCTGTGTTTTCTATCCTATGGTGCTCAGCAACTGCTCTGATATTTAACATTCCACTACCAATTCATCAGGCCCTCTTAAATTGTGAGACTATAAATTAGGGACTGGAACTCTCACTTTTAAATGAGAAACAAATATAAAATCAGAATGAAGCTGTCATCTTGACAATGAATCTCCTTCAGGAAAACACAAGTTGTTTCAAATACTGCGTGGCTTCTTGTATCATTCTCCTTATTTTGCTGGTTTCACAACTAGTCTGTAACAGGAAACTGTTGCTGTATGAAAAACCTCACATAGAATAGGGAAACTTTCTCATCGCTTGATTTTACTTACATAAAATTTTAGCCATCTGCACAGTCCTGTTACTTCTCACTTAAGTGAAATTACACACACAGGTGTTTACAGGATCAGGCTTTGACAAGCACAGAAAAGAAGTGGTGAAACCAACTACGTACATGATGATGTCAATAGCAGAAGGCAAGCAGAGAAAACCCAGTTTTTTCTCCCCTTCTAATTGCTTTCAGTTACCACATTCCTATATATCTCTTATAGCAACAATAAAAGAAAACATTTCAGGGAAAAGTAATTTCCACGTCAAAACTAACTGCAGAAATGCCATTGTTCTTGGTGACAATAATAAATTGACAAATGATTGTTATCAGAAAAAGGTCTCACTTATAAATCTTTCTCCTAAGATTACACCACTGAAAAACTTCCCACTATTCATAAGGTATTTTTTCTTAGGAAGTACAGCCACTGAAGAATAATTAGCCTGAACTCCCGTAGCTTGCTTGAGGATTGCAGCATCATGAGCAGAAGATTTCAGGAACTGCCTATTAAATAGCTTGGCTTTTTTGGGTTTTAGATATTTACCCACTGTAAAGCTCTGTTTGCTTGCCCATAGCTGCAAGATTTAGTCATCTTCCTTGCTTATTATGGTTTCCCAAGCGAAACAAAAGGTTTAATAAGACAGCCATTGGTGTCGAACAGAACTACATTCATTAAGTACTAACTAGTTAATACATTACCACACAGAGGTTAAATAAAGGTGCAATGCAATTTAAGTGAAAAGATCACGCTTGCTCATTAAATAGAAAAGGGTACATAGAAAACACTTTTGCTATTTTATATCACAACCCAATTAAAATCAATCTCATTGCCCTGTCCTGCCACAGGCAGGGACATCTTCCACCAGAACAGCCTGCTCTAAGCCCCATCCAACACTGCAAGGGATGGGGCAGCCAGAGCTTCTCTGGGCATCCTGTGCCAGTGCCTCACCACCCTCATAGTGAAGAATTTTTTTCCTAATATCTGATCTAAATCTTCCCTATTTCAGTTTAAAGCCATCCCCACTTGTCCTATCCCTACATACCACTGTAAAAAGGCCCTCTCCAGATTTCTTGTTGGTCCCCTTTAGGTACTGGAAGGATGCTCTAAGGTCTCCCTGGAACCTTCTCTTCTCCATTTGTTCTTATTATGAATTACAGCTGCTTAAGATGGTAAAGGTAATGCAGCAGTGCATCCTACAGAAGAGGTTTGTGTCCCACAGCCCAGACAGATGTTCTCTTCTGTTTCCAACACAACGTAGAACTGACATTTGGATGCACCTGCGGGCACAGCCACAGGTCACGCTGTGCTGCGTACATGGACAGACTGTCTGCACTGGAAGATGGACAGAGCGAGCTCTGCCTCCAAAGGGCACAGTGCCACTCCTCACCGGGAGGAGTGCCAAGCAAGTGAAAATGAATTTGACTCGGGAACCTAGCTCTGGCCTCTGCTTCCAGAGCAGCAGCACTGCATGTAATAAGGAGCAGAAAACTTAAGCCAGAGACTGTTTTCAGAAAGAGCAACCATTATTTCTCCATAGGTTCATACATAATGTAAGAGAGTTGGTGCGCTGGGAGAGGACAGAAGACATTCATCTAAGTGTCTCTAAAATGTGAAAATAATACTAAGAGGGAGGAACGAAACTGCAGAGGTCTCAAAAGCCAACCGTTATGAAGACATTATTTATTTACAAAGCAAACAGCAGACAAGCTCACTTCTCTCGCTGCTGTAGGCATCTGTTATTTGTTATTTTAAAAATAATGTATTTCAGACATTTTAAACACGTTCACAAACATGCTGGGTAGTGCGCTGTTTATGTCTCTGTGCCTCTCCCCAAGGAGAGTTGCTGACTTCCTTGCCAAAGCAAACAATATAACATTTATGAAGGTCAAATAACAGAAAGGAAGCTATGTTCATTAAAGGGACACTATCGAATCAAAAACTGGAACTTAAATGAGGCTGAGCTGTTGGTCCATATGTTTAAACAAAACCAGCATAAACGCATTGCTGTGTGACAAGCAACCTTCATAGAAATGCAGTTAAGATAACATGCATGAATTCTTTTTATACCCGCGTCACAGTCTCTCTGATGACTGAGGTCACTAATGGATAAGAATGAACTTCCAATCTGCTCACTGAGAGTATCTTAGATAACAACTCCATCTACAGGGTTTAATTTTCATTTACGGTACCAGCTGTGTGCATTTTGACACAAGCTGAACAACAATTATGTGACAAAACTCCCTGTCTTCTGTGACACACTGTTCCAACAGTCACAGTTCATGCTCATTAGTAGACAATAAAATAAATACATTATAAAAGCAAGTATTCCAAGCAACACTGATATTCTGTTTCCAATATCATTTAAAAAAAACCACAAACAAGCAAACAAAATACCCACAACAAAACAACCCCCCACAACACAACACAACACAACAAACAGTACTGGAAAGATCTCTTGCATTATTAATCTGAGACCCATGTTCTGTCATGTTTACTGGCAATTCAGTGATCTCTTGCTGCAAGAGAATCAGCCTCCTTGGAAATGTGCAAGGCTTCTTGCCTCATCTAAATCCTACAAGAAGGCTGTCTTGGAAGCTCACGGTAAAAAAACACTCCCAATTTTCCATCAGAAAAGTATTTGTGGTTTATCTGTGTCTTTTTTCTCCTGCGCTATCATCATCTTTTGTCTTAAATAGTCACTTTATGTTGTCCAAAACCAGTATTTCTTGTCAGCAGCCACACACCTTAGCCTTCCCTCTGCCAGGCTACACAGACCTCTAGTTGCCTTCTTTCGCAAGAAGATGCACTGTTGCCTTGAGCACTGAAGTAACGCTTCTCCACGCTTCTTAAGGGATAAAACTTATTTCGACTGGGGCTAAAGAGCATTATAGACTGTAATACACAACATAGGTTACACTGCTTTTTACGACAGCACTGGCAGCTTTACGCAGTGGACATATGTCACTTTATGCTTTGTAGGACTTCACTGTGTTTTCAGGGTAGCATCAACTCCTAGAACTGACTTCACTACTTCCACATGAACTACATCAAGCCTATTCTCCTATACCACTTTCCAGTGACGAAGTTCCGTTTTACAGCATACAGCTTTAGGTAAATGAAGTTCCAGTTTGTGCTCCTGAACCACAATTTATCCCTACTAATTTCCTCTCCCTTGCCATCCCAGGTTTTTGTCTGTGCCATCCCAGTTTTCCTCTGGGTTGCCTGTATCTCACTTCTTAGTCCCACTAATTTGCTACTACTTTCTGTGCCAGTACAATTTATGCAAATTCTAAATAAGCACATTCCCAGAATCAGACCTTTACGAATTCATCTGTAACTTCCCTCTAACCCAACACATTCCCTGAAATTGTCAGCAATCTTCCTGAAATCTTCAGTTCTCCTTTAACTATCAAGTCAATCACAGAAATGGAAAAGCCATTAATATTATTTCTCCTAGTAATTATTTTTGTTTTGTAAATACCTTTCGCTTTCTGCAGTTTGCATTGTTTCCAGCTTTGAGTGAGCTCCTCTGTTAAATCCTTTCACCTCTTGCTCCTCTAAAGATTCCAGCAGTCTAATCACATCTTTATTCACTCCCCTTCGTTTTGCAAGAACAAGTGGTGTTGCACCTTGGTGATTGCTAAAATGACCCCACAAAAGGAAATGAGAAGAGAAGAAAAGAAACTTTTAATATAGAAATTTTGTAACAAGACAACTCAGTATAAAACATTACAATTAATTAAGTCCCCAGAACTATTTTCTGTCATACCAGACAGTAAGAAATTCCCATTTATACAAGTTACAACATAATTGACTATACAAGAAAATTGGTATGTTTAGGTTTGAAACTACACAACTCTTCTAAATACTATTGAAATTCCTAGTACTGTAACCTAATAGGAATCTCTGGGTGTTAGAACAAAAAAATAAGCAGTAGATTTATGGCAGTATTCAAATTTAAACTTAATTTCAAGAAGGAATTGTGCAATCTCGTTCCTCATAGTTCCTTTTCCATGGGAGTATTAGGACATCAGGCAAAAATGAAATAAAATACAGATGGTCCCTCTGCTGTTATTAAAATCGTACCGAATAGGAGTGGAGCTGCCTTCAGACTAAGCATTTTCACCAGTTGTTTGAAATGAGGACAAAGAAAGCCAAAGCCACAGCCCTTAAAGAATCTGGTCTTTTGCTGAGTTGAAAACATTAATGAGGTACAGGTGAAAAAGCAACAGATTAAAAAACCGAGAGGTTTTGAAGTTACTACTGGTTTTGCACATGTTGTAAGTATGCAAAAGTGCCACAAACAAAACAATTCCATTACTGCAATGAAATAGCTAGTTATTTTGCAGCTTGAGAGCTTACATCTGAGCCCTGGCATCTGACAGCTGCTGGAAGCCAGAAGGAAAGACTATACAATATTTAAAAGAAGAACTGAGTCACAGACTTTGAGGGAGGGGGAAAGCACTGAAAGGAAGCATTGTTACCAAAGGAGTATGGGAATGAACTGACACACACATACACTGTATTTCCTTTGTCTCATACAGTGCAACAATTAAAACAATAGAACTGGAGTGGAGAAAATTCTTTTAGAGCAGTCAATGTGTTTTTTCCTTCGGTGCCAACCACCCACACCTGGCTGTCTGGCTAACCCACGGTTGCAATGTCAGCGGTGAGGCAGGATTAGCTCCAACAGCCCCCACCAGCAGCTGCTCTGTTTATTTGCTTTGCCTGTTGCACAGACCAGCAGAAGCGGCCTCTTATTGTTTTCCTGCCTTCTTAATTTTGTGGGATTTTTAAAAGATGTCTTAAAGTGGAATTGCACCACATACTACATTTCAGCAAGAAATTAATACGGTAGGCTCTGGCAAGATAAGACTAATGTGTTACATATAGGGACGCTGGGGAGGGACTCTTCATTAGGGACTCTAGTGATAGGACAAGGGGTAACGGGTTAACACTTAAACAGGGGAAGTTTAGACTGGATATAAGGAGGAAATTCTTTCCTGTTAGGGTGGTGAGGCACTGGAATGGGTTGCCCAGGGAGGTTGTGAATGCTCCATCCCTGGCAGTGTTCAAGACCAGGCTGGACAGAGCCTTTGGTGACATGGTTTAGTGTGAGGTGTCCCTGCCTATGGCAGGGTGGTTGGAAATAGATGATCTTAAGGTCCTTTCCAACCCTAACTATTGATTCTATGATTCCATGTACACATAAAACATTAAACTTTAAAATAAGTTTAAAGTAAAAAAATAGAAATAAAATAAAGTGGCTTACCAAATATCAATTTTAAGTCCATTAGAAACTAGGAACTGGATGGTGTCCACATGCCCACACAGGTGAAGGGCTGTGTTACCCTGGTAGTCGGTGGCTAGTAAGTCAGCGCCAAATTTATGCAAGAGTTGACAGATGTCTACGTTTCCTCTGGCTGCAGCAAGGTGAAGGCCAGTTCGGCCTCGGCTGTCACGAATATTGGGGTCGAAACCGCTCTCTAGCAGTCGTCTGGAATAGTTAAAATCTCCATCGATGCAAGCTTGCAGCAGTGGCACATTTGTCTGGGAAGAGTCGTTTACAAACACGTAGGACATCGTTCTGATTCTCTTTGGAGCAGGTGACTGACCTGCAAATAAAGTGGGAAGAAATTATGGTGAAGCCAGGCAAATAAACACGATTTGGTAGTCCTCAGCTTTCCCAAGCAAAAATGCAAACTAGCTCATAAACCAACTCTGAAATCTTCATATTGTACATACTAACTTTGTGTGCTGCATTCCCTTTCGGTAATATGGAAAGAGCCCCTTTCAGTCTACACCTCTGGAAACAGCAGCAAAGCTTTACTATTACAGAAAATGGATAAGATCAACGTCACAAATGCAAGACAAGCCATTAGCTTTCAACCAGTAAAGGATCACATGTAGTGGTATTGGTACTAAAGGGCAAAACACTGGAGATCAGAACTGAAAGGAAGAGCCACGTTTCATAAACTGGGAAACCGTGTACAATCCAGTCAACAGTGATGCTAACTACAGTTTTTACTAGCAATAAGCAAAGCTCCAGCATGATTTCTACCATTTGAATCTGAACTTGATGTACAAAGTACAGTCAGTTGCTGAAAATGCGTGATTACTATAAATACTAAGTCCTTCATTCTGCAAGAAACGTATTTTTCAATAGTCTTTGCAGAACATTATTTTTATAGTGCCGCAGATATACAGACTACTGAAAAGCAAGAATAGCAACACTGACCATAGAAAACTGAAACTACCCACCTGAAAGTGGAAACTGGAAGTGGGTACAAGAAGGACAATGGTAAAATCAAGTACAGAGCTACTGTGGGTTCAACTAGAACCTCTATATAAGGAAACACAAACGTAGTTTTTCTGACTTACTATTAAAAAAAGGATTAAGTCCCTTTCTGTATCAGGCCCTAAAAGAGGAAGATGAATGTTTCACCATGGATTTCTTGATAGAGAGTATTTAATGAACAGTGATTTAAGTTTTGCAGAATAATATTTTAAAAATGAGTCAAATTATGAGGTTATGAATGACAGCGTGCTTATGGGACACAAGAAAAAGTGATTTTACAAGATAAACTTTGAATGGAAACTGAACTGAAACTTCACTTGAAACAGTGTATTTCACTTGCCCTGGGGTTTGTATTTTGGGCTCATGATGTAGCAGTGTTCTGAATAGCCCTTGTTAAGTCTGCTATATGCAGATTTACATTTTCTCATCTATATAAGGTATCCTTCCACACCAGTGCACTCATTCGGCCAGGAGAACGGAAACATGGCCTACAGCCAAAGAATCAGATTTAAAACCTCTCCTTTTTTTCAAGAGTTTATAACGTCTGTATTCTACAGCTCTTCCCCCATGTTTTAGATCAAATTCCAGATCAAAGTACCTACAAAAGTAATTTCAAAATGTTTACACTCTGGTCTGATTAACAGCTGCAGCATCTGGGGCTGTTGAGGTTAGTAAATCATATTTAAACTTCATTATTGTATTTCCTATCTGGACAAATTCTGCTACATGTGGCAACACTGTCTAGATTCCCAGCGCAGGAATGCACAACTGTTTTTTTTTATTCTTGGATGCAGAAGAGATGGGAATAACTTCTACATCCTGGTATCTGTATGAGGAATGATCTTAAGCAGAGTACATTCGCCTAGGCTGCAAGCATGTTTTTAAGCACGTGACGGTGTATCACTGGCTCAGGCACCCTTTTCCACAGTCATTTCCAATAGCAAAAGCCAGTTCACTGATGCACCATAAAACATTTCACGCAAGACTGGTGTCATTTAGGGCACTAACAGCTTTCTTATTACTCTACCCAAGAAGAAAGCAAAATGTACTTACTCATATTTCTGATGAATAAGTTACAAAACCCCTCAGTGTTGTAAAGCTGGAATTCCCAGCTGACAGCAATTTCAATTTTCTTGCCTACTGCCCACCCAAGTCATAAATGATAAAAGAATTTCCCTTCAACTCTGTTAGTCTCTTTGCTGAGAAAAACATTGGGCACAGTTTCTGTACAATGTGATTGTGACCTTTACATTCTGAACTAAATCTTCCCTAAAGCCAGGTCATAAATCATTTAAAAACCTCTGATTATTAGCCATAGTAACAGCACATCAAGAGCGCAAAACCCTACCTGTACTTGATAAAACAATGGAGGTTCACTTGTAAAGTAATATTTGAGTGTTTAGACCTGTTTTATACACGGCCTAACATAACACAACAGCAGAATATTATGCCGGAAGAAATGCATGCTATTTGAGAAACATTATAGCACACTCTGTTAAACGTAAGCTAATGTTTACACTTTCATACCAGATGTGTATATCTACTAAACCCTTACAGAATTCCCTGTCACTTCACATATAAATCTGATGAAACATTAGCTAATAATACCAGAAAAAAAGCTGTCACTGCCTTATCTTCTCAGGAAAGGAAGCACAAAGATTAGCAGTTATCAGAAAGTGTGGCTGGAAGTCATTCTGATTCAGAATTTATTATCACCAGAATCTTTCAGAATGGATCACTGAAGTGTAGAAGGCTAAAGTGAAACCTTAGTGTTTCACATAAAGAAAGACAAAATCCCAACAAATCCTTCTTCCCAAGGCAAAAATTCTGGACCATCTGGTTTGATTTATCTTTGTGATTAAAAAGATTTTTTCCTACAAACACAATTCTATTTCACATATGGCTACCTAACCAATGCCAGATACAAGCTGCATACAAAGCTGAGCTATACACCATCTTTAAAATGCCAGTCTCCAAATGATACATTCTTTCCCCAAATTTAACCCAATTTAGCAGTATTTCTTGTCTAGCAAAACTCAGAACAAATACAATAGCCAACTTAATTAGACATTTTTGTATAAGCAAACTGTGGTTACATTTCTGACCACAGTATGTATCAAAAAGCTTATTGCTGTAATGAATATCTAATGCAATGGATTTAGAAACAAAATTCCAAAGCACTGGCCATTCTCTTCAAATCGCTTCTGAAAGATGAATTGGATAACAACTCTGAACCTGCCTAGGAGCTGGTACACCTACGTTAAGCACTGATGGCACAGGCATATATTAGGACAAACAGACTTGCATTAGGAACAAGACATGAAAGTATTGCAAACTGAGCGTTCTTAATATCTCTATGTATTCCTGCTACTACTGGAGTTAATTATACCTGATTTGGTTCAGTAAATGACTGCTTCTAAAAATGGATCAGTGCCTAATTAAAATACATATTTTAAATGATAGGGTTTTAAAAAAAGAAAAAATGTTTTGATGTTAATAACTTGGTCCTTTGATAGAAAATTAGTTTTTGTGAAAAAAAAAGTAAATCAAAGATGCTCTCCCAACCAAAAAGGATTGCCATAAGAAAGGCATAATATAAGAATACATTTTCCCTAAATTTATACAACTTGGATACGGCCTCGACACAGCGTACTCTTATTAACAGAACTTCAGAAATTATGCTGTAAGCACGGGCGCTAGTAGAGGATAAGAAAATTTAACTGAATGTTCTGCTTTCAGAAGGAATGCTTATATTGAGTGATTCTGTGCGAATTATTTACTTATCTGTATTAGAAGCCAGTTGTCTCTTACGAGTACTGTGTACAACAGTAACTCAGGGTCACACATTGATCTGTTGTACAACACATTCACACCTGCAGAAGTCAGGAGTGATCTTGAGTAACTCAAACCATAGAGGCTAGATACAAGTTCTGTCACTTCTTAAAGTAGTCCTAAATTTGCGCTAACCATGGACAGTTTTATTTTGCAGTAAATGTATGCTGTTGCCTCTGCCTTCTCATTTTAAGTTACCAAATAGCTCTGGAAAAAGGAGAGAACAGCTAGATTGTGAGACAGAATCACTAATGGGACCCATCTCTCCACTGCAAAAATGTGAATGAACTTGACAAGCTGTAATTTATGAGCCAGTCACTGCTACATGGGATATCCAGTTCTGCAAAACTTCGATGTTTCCAGGAACATTCAGACAAACTGAATTGTCCCTGTTTTAAAACAATACATCAGGACAAGGGAACAATACCAGATTGCTCAGTACTTGACACTTCCTCAACATACTTCAACATCTAGAACTGGCGCATCAGTAAGACTACAAAAGAAACTGCCTCCTCCAAGAAATGGAAACTAAAAGTCAAGAAAGAGTGCATTTTGAGAGTACTTCAGTGGCAGTGGCTTGCGAAGCTCTTCCTCTTCAGTCTTTAAATGAATGAAAAACATTCTAGTCCTTTGCTTAAACTGAAAGCTCATGATCTCTGAAGACAATGTTTCCTGGTCAAATGGGACCACTATGTGAACATAAGCTCTATTTGCATATACAAGATTAATTTTTTAAGTAGGCTTAACTTAATCATTTAAAACAAACAAACAAACCCCACCACATTACCTTGTGCTTCCTCTGAACATCGACCAATTGCTGAAATATAAACCCAACAATATTATGCTCTTCTTTCTAGGTAGGCTGAGGGAGAAATTCCTTGCACACATTTTCATGCATACATGTATTTATGTGCAAGTCACTGAGAAGTCATTTAACTGAGTCAATGTTATGTTGAGCAAAGTATCATATGATCAGTTATAATTTCTGTTTAGGAAAGAGCCCCTTTATCTACATGAAGCTTCACTGAGAGCTCTGTATCTTCCATTAAAAACCTGTATCTTATGAATTCAACAGGAACAGAGTTTTACTGCTTCACTAATAAGGATTTGCTGCTAAAAGCATCATCTCAGATTCAGTACAGCACAATGTCTGTCAGCTACACAGAGCTATATTTTGCAGCATTTTAGTTATTTTTCCAACAGTTCCCGGATTCAATGTAACAGCAGGTTCATAAGACCTACCTCTCTCTTCTCATCCCTAGCCAGACACATGGGTGGCAATACAAGAACATTATTTATACCATTTGTTTTCAGTCATTCCCTTCTGCAGACATGAGCCATACAGGTATACTCTCCTGATGTCAGGACCATCCTGTGAGCAGAAACTCTGGTGTACTGCACATACCTAGTGCTTTGCATGTACAGGCTACAAAGCGCTTTACGAAAAAAATCAGAATAACTATTGCTGCTCGTCTATGGATCAGCAGACAGTGGCATTGAGAAACAGGAAGCTTTGCTCATCAATGTAGAGTATGCCAACATTACAAGATAAAAAATGAACAAGATCTCAAATACCATTCCAGGGTTGCAGAATACTTCCCCAGATAATACAGCACATGCATTGTGTATTTATGTATACAGAATAAGGGAACAACAGGAAAGAGATCATTCTTTTAAAGCACCTTTATTGACAAGCAGATTCACAAACATTTTATCCTTACTACATTTAAATGGCAAATCAATTGCATCACGTTTCAGTGCAGTTAACTTCTATCAAATATACATTTAGGCATTTTTGAACCTTGCTCATTTTTCATCTTCCACAAAGGAACTATTTAGGAAGAAAGGCAATTTATAGTTTTCTTCAAATCAGCTGTAAATTCAATACCCCACAACTAGCTCAGATAAGTCAGTACATAACTGCAGTACTTCCCTGATCACTGTGGTCAGTTTGCACACATCTGCTTTTATAGGAAGTTACCGAATCACTTACATTGATCATATTTATCAACCTCTTCGCAGACCTTTATTCAAATTCCTTCTTTGTCTCTGCTGGGAACAGGTAGGGTGCTAGTATACGCTAATCAAGAAATCATCAAAGGTCACTGCATATTGTTTGGCGGTTGGTTTATCTGTTTGTTTTAACAGACCAGAGAGAATTCGTCCCACTCCTAATGAAGTGTCTGCATTTAAACTTGCTGCAGAGCTCGAAGCAGCCCTCGGCAAGAGAAGGCAGCGGCCAGCGAGGAGCAGCGAGGGATGCAGGCAGGGGAACACTGCCGCCACGCGGGGTGAGAGCTAACCGCGGCCCGAAACCCACTCACACACCCCCCGCACTGTTGTGTTTTCCTGAGAAGGAAGCGGTGGGAGGCCTGAAAGAAGATTTTATAAAGCCTGATGAAAAAGACTTCTGGAATCCAAACTGCTATTCCCCTGTGGTACAAAGAGCAACCTCCTTTAAGCTCTGCTGCTGTATTTGTGAAATGAGGACTGTGGTTATGTGGCTTGAGCTCTGAAGACAAAGGTATTTCCTTTAAAAACATATGCATTTATGCCAGTTTCTTTAAAAAAACCCATGAAAACTAAACCCAAAACACCTCCCAAAATCTCAGACCCTTCCTAGACAAACAGTAACTCTGAGATGACAAGTTTACTAAAATGGGAAAAACTTTCAGTGTCCAGCAGGAATCAGCAGAAGTCAGAGCTTAGCTTTATTCCAGCAATAAAGTAAACTAACAGCCAAGAACCTGTCACTAAACCAATTATTACTGTACAGTCCATATTTTCTCACTTTATTTCTTATAATATATATAATACCTTATGTCATCTTAGTCATACATAACTTTCATGACATGACCTTAGTAACATATGCAACACTAAATCCAACAGCTCATGAACAAAAGCAGGTCATTTTAGAAAGCAGATGTTGCCTAAATTTATAAGTCATTTATATAGAACTGTATCTTTGTCTTTACCTTTAAAATATTACTCTGCTTGTTCATTAGTTTGTTATTTCACATTAATCATTAAACCAGTTTATCAAACCCAAATAGTTAATTACTACTTGCAAATATTCTAAATCTCTATCAATACAGCATGACTTTAAATATTTAATTGGATCATGTTGGTTCACGTTACATGACATGATAAGTAAGATGATATGGTAACACTATCAAGGTCATATTTCTAATTAATATATATTGATATTTTTCATAAACAGTTACTTTACCATGCTTAGGCTCAAAATATTTTTCCATGTAGGCAAACCTGTAGTAGTACTGTCTGCCAACACTATGTCTTAATGAACTGAAGGGGGTAAATCAGCAGTCTACAGGTTCCAGGGACAACTGGCATGTCCAAGGAGAATCAGGGAGGCCATCCTTAAGCTCCTGATGTGCACAAAGGCTGGAATTGACTAGAAATATAATGGAAAATTACTGGAAAGATGTGAAATAGATTTGGAATTGTAACTATGGCACCTGAGAATGAAGCAGCTCAACTAATGTTTACCAATTTCATCAAAGGATCCTGCTGAGCCTACAAACAGAAAACATCACCTGTACAGGAAAAACTTCCACCTTCAAATAACTTTGTAAATGCTAGTAACTTACGTGAAAAAGACTATACTCAACACGAAAGCTGCTGTCCAGACACTGAACAGCAATAGCCACGTTTCTTTAAAGAGGTTTGGCAGGTGGTACTCAGTCCTATTTGAGAAAGGGTGGAAAAAACCCACACAGAAGAAAGTCCATGTTGACTGTCACTCCCGTAAATAAGAAGCTCACGTAAAAGCAGCTACAGGAGATCACAGCAAAGGTCCATTTAAGCCTAGCATTATTTTTCAAATGGTGGCTAAAAGCAAAGACCAGGGGAAAAAAAAAAAAGAAAAAGAATAGGGCAAGTGTTTGCATTTTCCATTCAAATCCTTTCTCATCTGAATGGGGTTCCTGTATATTTAGCACCCCTCAGTGCCCACCCTGTGAACCTCCCCACTCTCCTCTTCAACACATATAATATCCACAACATACTCTGGTAAGTTCTCCAACTCAATTCTCTGTGAAGAACTACATCTTTTGATCTTGCTGAATCAAAGCCTCATTAGCTTCACTTGTGGACCAGATCTCCTGCTGGAAAAATGGGCAGTTGACCCCTGCTTGTTCTTTCCCTGCAACTCGTGATTCTACAGGTCTCATCATATCCTCCTCAGAAATCAGGATGAATTTTACAGTTTCAGCTTTCTTGGCCATTCTCTATATGGAAGGGGGTCTGTGTCTTTGACCATTCTTGCTTTGCTTCTCCTAATCTCGCTATTTTTTACTATATGCTTTCTGAGCTGGAAGATGGAGTGGGGGAACCACACAGGGCGTTTGAGGTTAACCATGGATTAACACAGTGGCACAACAAGATTCTCTGGTTTGTTGTTTATGTGTTTCCCAATAATACTCACTATCTGATCTGCCTTTTTGACTGCTGCTGATTATTGTGGTTACATTTTCATGGAACCATACAATGTAACTACAAAATACTGCTCATTACTGTGAGACCAGTATTTCATATGGGAAGTTAGGATTCTTTTTATGCTATCTGAATCACTCTCCCTATACTAAATTCACGTGCCATTACATTTAGTAATCAATTACTCAGACTTACAGACTTACTTACTTCTGCAGCTCTTCATAGCAAATCTTATCTTTGCTACCCGTTATCAGCCAACACTAGCACCTTGTTGCTCACTGCCTTTTCTAGGCTGTTCATGGAAATGCTAACAGTTCAGAAGCCAGAACTAAACCCTGCAGAACAAAAATTCTCCCACTGAAAAGACTGATCACAAGCTCACAGGAACTGCTGTCCTGGATGAGACTGATCAAGCTTGCCTAGCACTCTGCTTTCAGCAATCAGAGATCCGTCTTTGGGAGAGCACATGAGCCTGGCTGCAATCTGCAGCCCATTCCCCAAACACACCCCAGCAGCCACCTCCCACTCGTCCTTTTAGCAGCCCCTCAACAGACTTCCTGTCAGCTTTTCTAATCCCTTGCTGAACCTGCCCACACTGTCTCCACAACTCCCCATCACACCCACTGAAGTCCTTGCCTATAGCCATCTTAAACTGCCCTGCCAGCCGCCCCAGCAAGCAACCCCCATCCCAGTGCTGCAAGACTGGATGAAATAACTTTTGTTTTATCCACTGCCTTCATTTCGTAAGTCTTGGTCATACCCCAGCCGTCTCCTCTCTAATGTGAGCAATCCTGGCTTTCCAGTCCTTTGGCCCTTTCAGTTGTCCTTCTATAACCTGCTGTATCCTTCAGATGCAGAGATCAGAAACACACGCACTTCCCCAGATGTGGGTTCACCAAGTTGGAGCAGCAAAGTGGTGCCCTCTGTCGTCTTGATTTAGGTGACAGCGGAATCTCAGTGAACGCCACGACTGAAATTTGCTGGACAAGGCCCATGCACTCAAAGATAGGCCTATGAGCCTGTCTGTCATCTGTACTACAGAAAGCTGAATGGATCAGGGATCATGTATCATTGTATACGTATAAAGCAATGCCTCCTGAAATATTCCATGTGCTTATACGTACACCCTGTGACTACCTAAAACATATCTTGGGTTTGTGTTGCTTTCAAAGGGTAAGAACTTCATCTATAAACTGTGTGCTTCCCATGCAAGCCCATGCTCTTTAAATTGTTATTGTTCTTATTTCAAACTCCAGCCCTCAGGATCACTAAATTCTCTTTGTCTAGTACTGTAACCCTCTTCTGTATTGCCAATGCCTCCCAACCCTTCATCACTACCAAATTAAACCACTGAAGTTTTAATTGCTACATTATGATCTTTATTTAAATTTTCATACGATTGGTCTCAAGATAGATCTTCAAAGAACTAATTTTATAATCTTTTATTCTCAGACTTGATGGAGTTTCTTTACAATACTGCTCACCAGTTTGTCTCAAGTTATTTCCCCATCCTCTTTACAACTCAGGTATAATCCTTATTTTTTCAGCACAATACTAAGTCCCTTTGCAGCAGCTGATCAAAAACTTTAGTGTTGTCTAAGGAAAAAAAGTAACTACTCCATTTCCCTTAAAGACAGCAATTACTTTATCAAAGACAGCTTTGAGGACAGGTTGAAAAGCAAAAACACACACTGCCTTTTAGTCTCTTTTATCGCCTGTTACCCCCCAGCAATACGCTCAAACAGGCCGCAGGCGCTGCACGCTCACTAAAGCCCTGTCAGGACGCAGCCCCTGTCCTGCCGCCGTCCCCCTCCCGCGGCCGCAGCTCCCGCAGCGCTCGCCGTTCCCAAAACCCACCAGCGCGGCACCGACACCGCTCCCCAGCAGGTCTCGGCCCAGTGTCGCTCCTGCCGCCGCTCGCCGTGCTTGTCACGGCCGGGCCCTCCCCGCGCTCCCCCGGCCGAGCCGCCGCCGCCCTCACCGGCGGCCTGGGGCAGGGATGCGGCCTGGAGCAGGGATGCGGCCCGCTCCCCGCCGCCGCTCCGGCCACAGCGCTGCCGCCTCGGGGCGGCCGGTGCCGCTGCTCTTTACCCCCACTCCGCGGCGCGCAGTGCTCGGCAAGGCCCGGGCACGGCGCCCACCCCACCCCACCCCTCCGCTCCCGGACAGACCGGCCCACCGCGGCGCTCCCCGCAGGCCGCCCGTCCCCGCGGGCCGGCAGACGGATCCCCCGCCGTACCTACCCCTCGGCGGCGGCTCGGCGCGGGTCAGCCGAGCCAACAGGGAAGGAGAAGCGCGGTGGAGACCGCGCGCGCCCCCTGCTGGGCGGAGGTCGCTCCAAGCTCCCGCTACGCGCGGCTCGGAGAGGAGCGGACACACGGCGGCTCACAGCGCTGCCGCCGCCCCGGAGCCGCGGTGGGGAGGCGCCGCCTTCTCCGGCCCCGAGAGGAGGGTGCGGTTACAGCTGCTGCTGTGCTCTGAGTCGCTTACCCGGCTGCATCGGGAAATAAACCCTGCAGCGGGAGCGAGGGCTGCAACGGGACCCTCGACCCCTCCCCTGGGACGTCCTTGGCAGAGTAGGAAAGGAAGAGCGAGAGACAGAAAATGACGGGAGAGGGGCAACAGCCCGAATGGAACGAACCGAGGGGCTGGGGGATAGAAGAACAAAATTAACAAAAATGGAGTAGTTGACTGTTTTTGTTAAAGGAAACGTCACGAAGTTGTTTTAACTACCCCTTGGGGGAAACTGTGTCTTTTATACCGCTGCGTGTGCTACTGCATAGCTGAAAACGCAGGCAAGGGTATAGCTCCTCTGCCCTTGGAGAGTGTCCAGCATCAAGGTGCTGTGAGTATAAGTATACAAAAGGGCCGAAGGTATTTGACTTCCCCCAAAATACATTAGTGGGGCTTTGGTGTTTGTTGGGGTCTTTTTTAATTCTTATGATTTTCACTTACTTCCTTCCCCTTTTCTCACAGCTGATCCTGCCTTTCAAAGGCAGAACACTAAGAAGAACCCCAGATCCTTCTGGTATGGAGAGTATCACGGTTTAGGCTCTTGAGTCTCCTTGCAGTAGTAGCCAAGTTAGGCATGTGGCTAATGGCATGCCTACCTTTATCCAGCTACCTCGGGTACTTACTTTCCTCAGTGTCATCAGTGTGAACCAGCACAACTTCTGATGTAGTGACATAGGTTAACTTCAATTCTCCAAAGCATAGCAGCTTCTGAATCAGCACTGACTCAACAGGTCACTAAGGGCATCACATCAGCACCACATTCCAGAAAGGAACGACTGGCCCCGATAAGAGGGATGATTGTAGGAAATCCTTTTCCACTCATTAGGAATGCCTTTTCCAGACAAATGTCTAGGTGGCAACAGCCTGCTCAGCCATCACCCTAACCCCGATACTCAAAGAAACATAACTGATAGGTAAATATTTTTTCCTTCTCTAATAGCACCATTTCTAATTAGCCCTCCCCTTTCTGCTCCAACATTTTCAGTCTGGGGGGAAAAAAGCCAAAAAAGTATCCATGTAAGACATCTCCAAGTTCTCAGTACCTTTTCAAACTGGTTCAGTAGAGTTGTAAATACTACAAAGGACTCTGCAAAGGCAAGGAATTACACTGAAGATTGCGGAAATTTTTTTTGCCCTTAGAGTTCAAAGTTTCAACTACAGCTTTATTATTCCCAGACAATTAATTTTGAAAGAAAAAATCCAAAATAAATTATTACAGGTCCTCTTCTCCTATTTTCTCAAATACACAGTCATCTTCATTTGGCCTAACCAAAAATCTTTTCCTTGATATAAAACCCAAATGAACTACCTGCAGTGAAACAATAGTTAAAGAGTATATGTATTTCAGTAATTACAGGCAAATACAAAATTAAGCTAGGAAGTCTGACATGATACTGTTAAGGAGCAGTGATTGATCTCTCTAAGAGATACTTGAGAGAACAGATTTTATTTTCCCTGCTGGAATAGGACAAAAGAACAGTTGTTTCTGCTCTTAAGGCGTATTGCAGTGTACTACGTGTGGTGCAGATTGAATGGCAGTTCCAAATGTGGTAACACATCATAGAATCGTATTGTAGAATGCTTTGGGTTGGAAGGGACCTTAAAGATCATCTAATTCCAGCCCCTCTGCCACAGGCAGGGACACCTTCCACTAGATCAGGTTGCTCCAAACCTCATCCAACCTGGTATTGAACACTGCCAGGGATGGGGCATCATCAGCTTCTCTGGACAGCCTGTTCCCATGCCTCACCATCCTTACACTTAAAAACTTCTTCCTAATATTTAATCTACCCTCTTTGTAGGAGTACAGTGATAATAACAGATCAGCATAACAGCTGATAAATTATTGTTTGAATAGACAATCCAGTGCAGCAGTCAGATTTCGTAGGAAAATCAAGATCAATCCACATGCATAAACAATCCCAGTGTGGAATCCAAGTACATCAACTACATCAGGGGTTGCATATATACTGTATATACTCTCTTTAACCTCAAGTGTCTCATTCAGAAACACCTTCAAACAGCAATAAAATGAAGCAAGTTGTCATTAAACCCAAACCAAAATTTTTTCATTCAGGCATGTTTCTTGCCCTCTTCTTTCTCCATAAGTTCAAGCTTAGCTTCTTTTGCTGCCTGAAGAAGTTCATATTAAATTTATTAGGAGTCTCCCTAACCAGAAAAACAGAGGTTGGGCTAAACAGCACTAGCAAGCACTACACGCAGTATTTACATCTTGGAGACAATTTCTCACTCACTAACCTGCTTTTGTTGGATGCTGGATTTCTTACTATTTAATCATGCATTCAGGCATCTTCATCTCCTAAACAGATTGAAAAATTTAAGTTTACAATAAGATTGAATGCTCCCCCAACTACTGTAATAAATTACACTGAGCAAAGCAGCATTCAGTTAAACCCAGCAGAAAGTGTAGGAAATGAACTAGCATAGTTACCTTTCTCGTAATTCTGTTTTAGTCCAAGCTAATCAAGTCCAAGCAATGCTAGCAACAGCTGAATATTAAAGTAATGAATGGTCATCTTCATAATTAAATGTTTACTGTACTTCCACTACAAATAAACTGGGAGAGGTCAAATCTATTCCAAAATTAAAATTGGTCTTTTCTTCTGAATCATTTACAGTTTAAAACTATGAAATAACACGCTGTTCACTGCCTCATTGCTCACTGTAATCAGCATGGGTCTAGAAGATCACACATGTTCCTTCCCTTTTTTCTCTTCAGAAGTTTTCAGTTAGCAGACATTCAAAATCTTTAGATAGCACAAGGTTAAACAAAGCCATTATTAATGCTGGAAATTATTTCTTCAAATAACAAGTATCTAAACATTTTCATCCTTAAAGGCTACACAAAAGATAGCAGAAGTATTTTAGCTACAAACCTGAATTTCATTTAATTAACACTTCTATTTAAACCCAAAATGTTTCTCAGTGTGAATGTCACAGATCTCAAATTGGTCTAACATTGCAGCAGATGGAGCAAGCAAGTGAAGTGGGGGAAAAATGCAGAAGCCAGAAATGGATACAACAGGGTAGTGCAGAACATATGAAAATTATGCCACAGATATCCTTTATCATACACAGCAAAAATTTAAGTCAAGGAGGGAAGGCGAAACAGATTATTAAATCTCTGATGATAGTATTTTAAATGTTAAAGGTGGTTTATTTCTGTAAAACTGACCAAAGATGTACTTTTTAGTCAATTCATTCTCTACTGAAATGTTGGAACATGTAAGATCCTTTTTCTCTGGGACTTCTCTCAGCACATTTGAAAGAATGTTAGAGTAGCAGGCTTATTTCTTTTAAATACAAATTCTGACACCAACAAACACACATGCTCACCGTTTCTTGGCTTTCTTTGGCTGCCTTTATCATCTGCTCTGATACCATTTTCTTCAAGCAGCTACTGAGCAAAAAGGCCTAAAGAGGATAAACGGATAAACCACAGAACATTCTGATTTCTTCTATTAAAAGATGTACTCAACTCTTCCATTTGTCCTCCACCAGAAAACTGCAGTCCCCAATACTTCCCTGAGTCAGTTAATTTTACTCTGTGCTTAGCATCCTCACAGTGCACCAGATTTGCTGCAGTTGCTTAAAGCCCAGCCTCAGCATGACTAACCCTCACAGCAATGCTCAGACTCGAGAATAAGAATTTTTATGACTGGCTTTGTAAGGCAAGTTATTCTCTCTAGTTGTTTGTGGCTCCTACCTTAAAGGCTGCTAAATTAAACCAAGGACTAAGTAAGGTTAATCAAAAGCATCAAGACCACTTCAACAAATGAAGCAAGCTGGAGTTCACAGGCACTCGGCACTGTCAAAAATCAAAGGCCTGGTGGTTACGTGAGAAGGCTGCAGCTGTTTGTAGACCATCTCAGACTCACATCTTGCATACCTAATACGAACAGAGCAGTATGCACTCATCCAACATATTGGGTACCTAACAAAGGCACCTCAGAGAGGAGTGGTGGTGTTCTTAGCTCCTTAGGCTGTCTGATAAGCCTGTACAACTCGTTGGGATACTGCAGCCCAAGTTAAGTTCTGAATTTCACTCTGAATTGCACCTCACTGTTTACTCTCCAAAAAGCAGCATCTCAGGTAGGGTATCAAGCACCAAAAGATGAATTGAAGACAAAACATTCTACAACATCAGTGATGAAGGGGGGAACCATCTCTGTTTAAGCTCCAAATCATCCAGTCATGCCATTTTCTGCAGTGGGCTCTTGCATCAAACCCTTCTTTCTTCCACATAGAAGCATATTTCTGGCCTTTAGCTCTTCCTCACACTTCTGAGCAAAATGGGACACAGGGTTGCTAATCAACATGTCAGGGCATCAAGCACAACCCTAATGGATTTCACAGAGAATTTATACTGAATTAAGTTGGTTTGGGGTTGTTTTTTCTCTCCAGCAGCAAAGAAATTAGAAAGCTTACTGCTTATGGCTCATGCTCTCATAAAACCTAAGTGTGGAAGGAAAATAACACTTACTAAATAGCTGTGTGAACTACATCATCACCCTGGAATTAAGAAGTCATGTGTGATAAATTAAGCATTTTGGCTTTACTTGAAAAATCCTTTCTGCTGCTGGGTTGGTCTCAGAAGCAAGAAAGAGAAGCAGTTTACTTGAATAGCAGGCTATGCACTTTTTATAGAAGCTCTGTACCTAAACTGAGACTGGTGCTGTCTTTGATATCGCAGAGTCTGGATTATTTGCTAGGCAGCATAACCACAGATGGATGACTTGAATTCCTGGATATCTTTAAAGAGCTGCCTGAAAAGTAGGAGGACTGGCACCCTATAAAATCTTATTTAAGAATTATTTATATGTAAAATAAAATATACTTACAATGCCATATATTCACACCCTCCATTAACCTGTGTTAACATGGCATATTTATACTTGAACAATAAGATTTTTGTGTAAAATGGGAGCCCTTGACCTTAGGTAGGTCTGACCAATTAATGATTTTGGATACTTACTGAGACCAGTATATAAATGGCTCCTGTCCGCACTTCATCCCAGGCTTGCTGCTGATTGCTAGACATTTCTCTTCAATGGAAAACAAAAATTCTCCTCCTCTTACAGTAGGAACTCAAACGCTTTCTCCCACATAACTCTGTCACCAGGCTAACCTGCTTGAAAGCATCACTGCTGCTCTCTGGTAGAGATAGATCAGCCACTTCTGAAGATGCCTTATGGCTGAAGATGATACATTTTAATCTGATCCTACCCTAAAAGGACTGGGAACTGACCTGTTTTGTGTACAAAATTATCCACTGCCATGTGCCCGAGTCATTGTACTCAAATCTAACCTCCAGAGTGTCTTCTTCACCATCCTTTGTAGCACTCTGTAAAACAAAACCAAAACCATCCAATGGACAGAAGAAACTACTAAAAGCAACATCAAGGTGTTCAGCCTTAAATCAGAATTAATCAATTAGGTTCATTTTATATAGCATATAAATAAAGCAGGGTGCAAGTGGGAGGTAGGACAATGGGGTCTTTAGAAGTCTAAAGATGGCTAAAGCAGTTTTGCTCCCATGCAAAACTCTCTTGACAACTCTAACTTCAACAGGAAAGCAAAGTGGCAGATACAGTATAACATGGAATACCACAGAAGGGAGAAATATAGCAGAGTAAGCTTAGATGGTTACTGCTATAAAGGCTGCTAAGGGAGTATGTTTCAGAACAGGTTTGGAGGGGAATATGGGCAAGTGAAAGGGATTTAAAACAGACCACCCCTTCTCCCCAGATCTGCCCTTCCCTGTCTACCTTAGTTTTATGAAGAAAAAATGAATTCAGATACAGAATCGGTGAAGTACTTACAAGAAAAGTAACCTGCCAGCTTCTTAACCTGTTGATTTTAAAGCTGACCTCTTTGGTCTGGTTAGTAGGAAGTTTTATGCAGCAGTGAATCTCATTATTGCCGACAACGATGTCAGCTGAACAGCCTTCTTCTGGATAGTCACAAATGCAAGGATCAATCCCTACGCATCCATAGGACTGCATTTCTCAAATCAGCTCCAGGAACTGCACCAAAAAGACAGAACTGAAATGATTTTCTGTAAAGACAAGTGAAATCTAGTGACTTATAAAGACAAATCTTTCAGAGTCCTAACACTTTCTCCTGGGAGGACATAGATTCACCACAGTATGTCGGTGCTTGATTCAGAGAATAGTACTCACGGTCCAGACTTGGAAACTTCATTTCTACACACACACACATTGAATACAATGAGTTGAGTCTTTTGGATGCTTATGAGATATGATGATAGGAAGACAAAAAACTAACCAGTAAGAACTATGAGAACAGTAGTCCCAGCACTCTGAATTTCCATCTGATGTCCTAATCTGTATGACAAAACTTTGCACCTGAGTTCAGCAAATAAAAAATAGCATTCACAGTCAAAAACTTCCTGCTAACCTTCATGATCCAAGGAATTCTGTTCAGTTATTTTAAAATGCTAGCAGGGATGGTAACCTCCTTTCCTATTGGTGGCTCAGTATCTGACCAGGATATGGGAGACCTGGCTCTCTAGCTCAAACCACTCCACAAAACCGCGCTCTATTTTTAAAGTCACATCATTGCTTCAAAACCCACCCCTTTCATCTGTTTATGTTATTTTTAGGATAACATTTTACCTTTACTTTGTTTGCCTTTTTTTTTTGTAGGAATCCAAGTTCCTGCATCTGCTCTTCTGTTGGTTTAACCCAATTCCTCTCAACTTCCTGGATTGCCTTAAGAGAGTTTTTTAAAATAGCCAAAGAAGTCAACAAAAACGTATTTCCTTTTGCGCACAAACATTTAGAAACACACACAGAGGGCTTTTTTTAAACAAGGCCTTTGATTTTAGGTCAAGTTCACTCCACACTATTCTTTCGTCCTGAATTAACAGTTTCCAAAGCTAGTACAGTTCAACACACCTACAGTTCAGAAATCAAATGCTCTCACAGCACAGCAGAGTGCCTACATATTACAGATACAGATACATCCGTATACACTTGAAAACAGAGGAGACAAATACCTAAATATCCTAAATGTGTCTTTTTTTATTCAATACTTTTCCCATGCACAAAACATAGATGAGTTAGAATCTCTAGCACATGATTTTGGAGGGGAAAAGGAATATGATCAACCACAGCTACACCCAGCACTTAGAAAAGCACAACAAAGCAGTGCTAAACAGGAACCATTTACAAACATTTCAAGAAATATTAATATTGGAAAGATAGATAGCTTTCAAAATTACAAACACCTTTCAGCTTTACCTGCATATATAGCAAATTCAGTGAAGCTGTACAATCCATCAGCAGTGTGTCAAGAGAAGAATCCATATACCTTTTCCAAGCAAACGGGAAAAAAGAAAAGTAATAAAATATGTAGATATGCTTCTAAGCATGGCATTGTGATTTTTCAGATAAATATGATGGGAGCACAACCTGGAAAGATCCCATTACTTACCAGATTAACAAAACAAAAACCAGTTATGCCTCTGAAGTGTGTACTATGCTTATTCTTTATACACTGTAGCAGAATGGAAATAAACTGAAGTCTGGTGATCCAGTCTCTCCACCTTGATTTTGGTGGTACCAAACATAACAGCTGCAGTTTAGAACTAAAACTTCCCTCTTCCTTTGCTCAAGCAGCTCAAGGTTTGTCTACATAAAAGTTGGTAAGACTCTCAGAGCATCCAGTGCCATGCTGCAGTGCTGACATACAAGACCGTCCACCAGCCAGCTGCAATACCAGCTACTGTAGAATTGCTGTAGTACAGCAACAAAGCAAGTTAAATACTCAGTTATCCAAGTGCCATGCTGCAACAGTTAGTAGCTTGAGCTGTCTTCTGGAAGACAGCTTAGGTAAGTCTACATGACAGAATGAATACAGCAGGCCAGCTGCATTACATTGAGCAGGTAATACACTTCCTGCAGCACACAAACCACCCCAGAGCTGCCATTTCCTACCTCTGTGATTTGCAGCTGCATGAGAGAAGTATCTCCTCCTACAGTCACTTTGTCATGCCTTAGAACCACACAGTTCTTTTATTAGGCTGCTAGGTTTTGCAGTTTGTAAGGGCAGATATAAAGAAACAGAGAAAGCTTTGCAGAGGTCAAGCTCTAGCCCAGTAGATCTAAACCAGACAAGTTACAAGCATCAAACAAGTTTCTGTTGTTTGATGTTTGCTATCACCAAAAGATATGGTCTGTTCTTCCTCTTCTGTTCCCAATCATGGTTGTTGCTCTAGCACTCATTTGATGCAGCCAATACAACTCACTAAGCATGCAAAAACCTTTTTTTTTCTTCTTCATTGTAGGGAGCAGACCATGCCACAGTCACAGTTGACAGCCATTAGCCTGGCTCAGCTATACTGCCTAACTGCACCCCCAGGGCACTATTTGACAAGCAAGACTTTGGCACCAGATTCCCTGTCCCCGGGGTTTATCCTCACCCACCAGTCAGCATAACTGCTTGCTGCACAGCAAACAAGACTGGGGAACTGACCAGGGCCAAAAATAGGTCGGCAAAACCAAATAAATTTTACAGCCAGCAACTTGTTTTTAGGCCAGGCTAGCTCTCCACTCCAGCTCACCATGTCTGCCACACAGTTCTACCAGCATAACTGAGGAGGAGCCCAAGGTCTGAGCAAATGAAAGGGGAAGAGTGCACTGCTGCTTAAGCCAGGCCACTTACCAAAAGAAATGTTCAAGCTATGGCCTCAGGTATCTTTTGTATTAGCGTATAGAAATGAGCACTTCTGATATAAAATAACCTCTCTCTGCCCAGAGTTGCAGCTTGCAACTCAGAACTTAAAGTTCTTTTCTATATAGTTTACAAGTATATTCCAATTTGTGATCACTGCATTATGCAGGTATAAAAGTTAGGAGGAAAGCAGCCACAAAGTACCTCTCTAGGTTCTGAAAGAATAGAGGGAATAAATAACTAGTTGCAGAAAAGGACACTTTCAGTGATAAAATATAAAACCTGCAGGGCCAGCCAATTTCAGTAACAAATTGGCCTCAGAGAAAAATAGGTAAGTTGCTGAGGCTTAAAGACTTTGTAGCCAAGTTATTCAAGGGATTTCTTCCTCCATTCATGCATCTTGGTAGTTTCTCTTAAGCTTGTTGCTCACCATTTTCTGATCCCAAGCTTACAGTACAACTCCTTCATGCTCTGAAGACTCACATAAGGAAGTTCAAATTCTGCCACTTTTTTCATCACTGGGAAAAGAAGAAAAAACAGAGACAGTCAGTGAAACAGCCCCGCTGCTTTCATTTATCAGTTAGTACTGGTTACCAGTGTGCTTTTGGAGAAGCAGGAAACTTGACAAAATTAAATTCTGGGTAAAGCATGGAGAGAGGTTAGTTATCTTCCTCACTTCTCGAGTGTAAACTTACATAGCTCTATTACTTACAGAATATCTCTGCTCCCTTAGACTATGGTCTTACAGAATATCCTTTTCTCAGAACACAGCTAAGCAGGATAGATGTTTCTGCATTGAAAAGATGTTGATGCAAGCTCCCAGGACTGGTGTTTTTCTTGAACACCAGAACACCAGACAAGCAGTATAACTAACTTACAGCAAGAAAAGCATGTCACTCTTCAGAAGTCACTACTTTCCTGCTCACTCTTAAAAAGGTCTGAAGGCCCAAACCTGTAACCAATTATTTCTAAGCTAATACCACAATTCAGCAGAACACCTAAACATGTCATTTTAAGCATATAAGCATCAAACATTTTTTGGCAGTGGACTGTGGGTTACATTTGGACCTGATGTATTTGAAAGGAATATTGAAGATGCATTGAAATTTAATTAACTGAAAGACTTTTATCTTATGCTGTGTATCTGATTATATCTCAGTGCAAGGAAAAAATAATTCCATCTGCAACCACAGAAGAGTATATAAATGTGTTATATCCAGATACATGAGACACAGTAATAGCCAGGGATTCTGTACACTCAGAGATACCTTTCACAGACAGAGAGAAAGGGGCAGGGGAACAACATATCAAATAGACACAAGAATAAAGTTCCTATGCCACTGAGTAAGCCTGATTTTACTACTGGACCTTCATCTAGAAAAGGTTCAGAAGAGCATTAACACCTTTATACCAATGAGAAGAAAAAAGGCTAAATGACTTGTTAAGGCCACACAGAGAGGCTGCAAAGCCAAACTTTTCTCCAGTCAAAAAACAAACACTGTGTTCACTTCCCTGATGTGACCCGAGCCTATCCCATCCCAGGTCTGGATCCAGCCTCATCCACACAGCTGCCCACAGGGGAAACAGGACATCAACAGACCAATGAGGACAGAAAAGCTCCTTCACACTGACCACGGAGACTCACAAAACTGAGATATAGCTTGCTCAGTGCCCTCGTGGTTAAACTTACATTTCTGTCAGTTAAGAAAGGAAACATGTCATAATACAAAGGAAAGTAAGCCACAGACATTGTTTAGAAATATAACAAAAGAGTTTCCTGTCCCATTGTTAAACTCAGCATGTGATCTGTAAATTAAGAACTGTTTCATGTAGGTATGGCCATCTGATTAAATACCTACCGAGAAGATACACCCAATAGTTCCCATGTGGTAAAAGTTGCTACATGTTGCGTAAACCAAAAGGAACATGATACTTGTATGTGAAGGTCTCACCCCTGTACCACACAATGTACTGCCATACTTCGCTCCCCACTACCACTCTTTCCAAGCTACGTGGAGAGAGGAATGGAGGGGGTTTATCAGACAGGGTGGGTCTTTCAGCCTGAGCAGGCTCATACAAGCTCTGTTCAGACTCCAGGTTCAGTCACTTCAGACAACACAACATCTAAGGGAGGGCTGGTTTAAGCACAATGTAAAACTTACCAGAGAGCACTCCATTGTCATGATCTTGAAAGAAAAATAAGCTAAAATACTTCATTAATTCTCTTGATAGCCCCATCTCAAATAATGTAACCTTTAAAAACAAAGATCAGGAACTTAGCTACCCATTAGCAGGAATATGTTAGAAAGTATTGAACATTTTTTTCATTATGTCCCATTTAATTGCCTGTTTAAAAGCAAATATAACCACTCCTGTATTGCAGCATTTGAGTTTGTGAGGAGTTTCAAACTTAAAAAAGGAGTTTCTAAGTTTCAAAAAAACATAAAAATGTAACAAACCAGAAAATGTTTACTGCTCTGCTATGCATTTAAGTATCCTCTACCACAAGGCATCTGCCATGTTCTTCCAAATCTTTTATTCCTAAATCCTCACATCGTGTTGTACAGTGAGCACTGTGTGCTATGAGCTAACAACATTGCTCAGGAAAATTACAAATACGTATGTTTACAGGATGTGTGCATCTTCTGAGCTGATAGAGTCCTCTGTTTTTCTAGGAAATATCTAAGACCCCTGCCTATTTATTGAAAGCACTGGTCTTACTTGCAGGATTCTACAATTCTGCAAGAGGGCTTCTGACAAGAGCAGACTTGAGGTCCATTGAGCTTTCATTATTGCATACAGAGGAAAAATTCTACCCAGCTTGACATCTGGATTTGTTTTAGCTTGCTCTGCCCTCTCAGAGGATATGAAGCAGCAGCAACAGAAGATGAACTTATTTGCAGGACCAGCTGCAGAATGGGTTAATGGAGACAGAAAAATCAGGCAGAGGTGAGCACAGAAACTGCTAAATCAGATGGGGGCAATTGTCTTGTTCTGGTTTAGGTCCTGAAAAATCAAAGCATAAGTCAAAGCAGCCGTAACCTAAAAGAGCACAGTGCCATCAGAGCATTCCTAAATCCTGCAGTGACCATAATCTCCCGAGATCTCTCAGGAAAGTGGTGTGGCAGCTGTAAGAAAACTTTCCACCCCCAAGAATACTCCTGCCATAGCTCATGTGGCAGATTGTGCAACCTGATGGAGGAGTCATGCTGTGGTCAAAGAAGCTGGACTTTCTTTGAGCATAAGGTGGAAATACAGGTTTTCAGTCTTCTTCCAAAGGGTGACCATCCCAAACCACTTCTATGTGGTAGCATTGTAAATTCAATCATCTCCACAGTTCAGAAGGGTTTTCTTCAGCTGTATCAGCTGGTTTAAAAAGCAGGCATTTTTTTTTGTGCATGGAAAAAAGTAGACATTGAGCTCAATATAGGTTGGGAAGAACTGTTCCAAGTTAAAGTTGAAGAACACATTCATGAAGTTTTCCTTATACTTGTTAATATGAGGGCTGTTACCAGAGAGGGCAGCAGAGCATAAAAATCACTTGCCTCACACTCAGTTCAGACACCAAATATAACGGGAAGAGAGTTACAGAAGTTCAAAAAGTATAAAAGACATAAAAGTGAGTATTAGCAGCACCATCTTCCATTCTTTCTGCCTCTGTGCTAAGAAGTCCCCTTTGTACCAAAATACTAAGGACACTGGATGGCATTTCCCAGGAATGTCAAACACACATCTTTCATTCAGTAGGATTTTGACTTATTTTATTTCTCGGATCAAAAAACAAGCTGGTATATGCTGCCTGAGCACCAGGATGTTAGGGAATGTCCATTGCAAAATCTACCTGCACTGCAAAAAAGACAGTCAGTGTAGCAGCACATATACAACCACAGGAGTTAAATAGTGCTTAGAAGTTCTATCATCTCAACCTTAAGGTCTTCTTAAGGAAGAAATGGTGTCTGCGGTATTTAACATGCCATTGTTTCTTTACTGCACCACATAAACATTAGGTGTCTATAAATGCAATAGACAAAGCAACATACAACACCACTGCCCGGCTTGGAAGTTATCTGGATCCACTGCAAGCTAACAAGTTAATCAAGCCCAAATTATTACTATTTTTTAAAGTATATTAGCAAATTCTTTCCTTACTTAAGGTCCCTAAGCAAAAGCAAGTCTCTTATCTAAAAGATGTCTCCTTACTTCTTCCAATCTATTATACTGCTCTCCCCCAAAATCAAAATTCCTAACTTCCTGCAATCCCCAACACTTTTTGCCTTCAGCATTTCCCACACCACAAGTCTCCTGTTGCAGGGTCTAAGGCCAACTCTGACACCTTCCCATGGAAGAACCAGTCCTAGCATTGCCTCAGGTGATGCAAACCCCAGGGCAGAACAAAGCCAGCAAGGGGTTACCTTGTGTTATCCAACTCATGGTAACTGTGCACAGATACTGCGTGTATCTGACATGGCCAGACCATGCCAGCTTGATGGAGGAAAGCAAACACATGTTCAGCTTGCTGGTACCTATGGCCAGCTGAGAACTACCTCCACAAACTCAGACTGCAAAGGCACAGCAGAAATACAGCATACAGTTTCCTGCATGATGAGAGGAAATTTCAAATTCCCATAAAAAATGAGCTCCCATCTGGCAGGTGTATGCTTTGTTATTGCTGTAAAGATTAGGAAATTGAAGCAACCAAGGCAGAGACTTCAGCCTTGCTTGTGCACACACACATGCAAATACACAAAACATGCAGAGTCACCACTGCTCCCCCTCTCCTGGCATATGAAGGGAGTCCCATCTGAAAGTTTCAGATGCAAGCCAACCAGTTGTATAAACAACGTTTGGTTGCTCCTGGTTTCAAAATGCAACTAGCAAGTGTTTACTGTATGTATTACAACAGCTGTTACGGACATCCCACAGCCACAGTACTTGAACTGCACCAACAGGAAGTCCCACAGTTTCACAGCAAACATCAGGGGAGGGTTACCAAGCATTGGAACAGGCTCCACAGGGAAGTGGTGGAGTCACCATCCCTAGAGGTATTTAAAAAGACGTGTAGATGTCATGGGGGATATGGTCTAGTGGTAGATTTGGCAGTGCTGGGTTAACGGTTGGACTAGATCTTTTCCAACCTAAATGATTCTGTGACACAAAACAAGTAAAGGAGAAGTATGCAGAAAAACACAACATATCAGTTGCACACCAAGTTCTAACAGCAGCGCGCCAGCCAGGACATAAGTCAAGACTAGACCATCATTTCTTAAGGTCCTTTCCAACCCTAAGTGTTCTATGATTCTATGGTGCTATGTTTAGCACTTTCATTATGCCAAGCCAAAAGGAAGAGTTAATTAAGAGTGTGTCCCTATATGAAATAGTATATCTTTTCTATCATGTATGAAGGAAATCTGAATTTGACAACCAAATGCCATAGAAGCAGAGGGTGTGTAACATTAAGATGAGGCAAATTACAGACAAGTTCAAGAACCAAAACCGCTCATAACAAAATGAGCAATGCCTCCCACCCCAATAAACCCCCCCAAAAAACACAAAAGATTTTTTTGAATGTCTTCAAATAGGGTCTTTTATAACTTCCTGACCGAAATTATCTTCTTTTTTCCCCCCACTTCTCAGAAATGGAAGTTTCAACATAATTCTAGAAACCCATTACCTCTAATATTCTTTCTGCAGTGTCCAGTGTCTGGATCTCAAGTCTATTATTGCTGCCATCAGCGAGGTAAACATCCAAAAAGGCTCTCTTGGTTTGGATCTTAAATGTATCCTGTTAGGTAGAAACAAAACACTGTTTAATTGCTTTTCATATTGCTGGAGCTCTTTTGAAGATGCTGATGCTCCATTTCCCTATTTAAGCAAGTAAAATAAACAATTCAGATTACTGTTTAGTAAACACCCAAACATATGCAGAACTGCAAGTGGGAAGATACTGCAGAATTAGAGGAAAGTCACTTTGAAGTTAAGCTGAGCACAAGTTAGTGTCTCAGCAGCTGTAGGAATGATGCAGTCACTGTCCTAGGAAGTAGAGACTCCAAAAAGAGGAGGTGGATAAGCAGCTGCATGCAAGTATTCAAAGCCACAATCTTGCCAAAAGGTAAAAAATGCACCCCTGTACCTATAAATAGGAAAATCTCTAGTGAGAATAACGAAGCTATGGTATCTTAACAGAGACACTGCTACTGTGCAGTGCCAGTGCTCAAGATTCAAAGCCACCACAAATGGAGAGGGTATAAGAAGAAACCTGAAAGTGTTTAGGTCATGAGAAAAAAGCTCTCAAGTAAGTGACCTCAGAGAAATGTCATATGTCTAGACATAATAAAGGGGTGATTTGCAATCTGGAAAACTGAAGTACAGAAGCCAGATCCATGGCCTGTCATTTGATCATAGATGCAGTCAGACTAGAAGTAAAGCATGCATTTCTAACAGTGAGGCAGTGCACAGGAATGGGGTATTTTCCACTGGGTTTATATCAAGATTTTATTTCTCTAAAAGATTTTCCTGAACTCAAACTCAGAAAGCCCCATGCCTTGCTATGTATAAGAAATCAGTTTCTTTTTTCAAGAGAATGGAGATTAGTTTGAGAATTCCCTTGGGGATGCTTCTGGACGAGGCAACAGAAACTCATCACTGCAGCTCCTCTTCCTGTTAACTGCTCTGTACCAGAGGACAGCAATGGTCTTCCTGGCATTTTAAGTCATTAAGGTGAGGTACTTCCCTTGCGACAAATAGTGGAGGAAAATGCTGCAATTCTACATACTGCATGCAACATTAATTTTTAATTTCTTGTATCCACCTAGCCTGGTGGAAGGTATGGGAGTACTTAAAAAGATCTGGGAGCCCTTAGGTTTCAAGTACTCTCAGGATCTTGCTGCAGAGTCTTCATGGTGCCTGCATATAGGAGCATCTCCTGACTCCACCATCAACAAGAGCAGGGTGGCAAGGCTGACATTTATGCTGGGTACTCCACTGCCGCTCTTTGGCTGCCCTGGAGAACATAGTAGGATGGATCACCATATCTGGTGCTTACCTGAGTACTTTACCACTTTCCTGAAGTGGGAAGGAGCAGACACTTCTTACAAATGCCTTTGGCACACATATTTCGGCATGAAACATTTCACAGGCGATAAATAAAGATGTATGTGAAACTCAGAACAAACATGGGATGCAAACAGCAGAATGAGGTAAAGACACGTAGCTCATCACCGACTCTTGACAAAGAGCAAGCAGATCACTATATAGCATGTTTACTACCCAGGCCTCAGCAGTACTGGGTGAAGGTGAGGGCAAAGGCTCACACACCTCAGTAAGCACTTCTGAGTGTGGGCTGATAATGTGGAAGCTCCCATAGGGAAAGCACATAGAAGACTTCATGCACCTGCTTCTGCCAGATCCTCACTGCTGCTACTGTAGCTTTCACAGGCTGGGTATAGGCCACCTCATCCACTGTGGCAGCCCAGAGTCAAAGACATAAAGGTCACTTTACCCTTCTGCCACACCAAGGGAGTCACATGTCGCAGCATCCTACCCTGCTGACTACCTCAGTGTTCAGCAATCATGAGAGGAAGAAAAAGGGCACTTTCAAGCCACTTCCTAATAGTTTGAGTTCTCCAAGAACACCGTGGGACCTAACAGTAGGCAGATTAATTTGAAGATCTACAAGAAAGAATGTGTTAGAAAAAAGAAAATCTCAGTCCCATCTACAATGGTCACATTAAATATCACTGTTTAATATGCAATCCAGTGGTTTAGACAGTCTTTTAAAAACTGCTTTGTTTACCTTATTTGACTCTTGAACTACAGGCACAGCTTCATTTCATGGTCTTGGGGATAAATTCCCTACTTTCTTATCTCCAACTTTTGATCACTGGTCTCTTACTATGGCTATGACATAGCAATTCAAAAATAAGAATTAAACTGTTGGGTTTGGGGATTTTGTTCCCACTTTACCACATGCTTCTGCACAGAAGACAGAACTGTCTATGCCAGAAGCTCCACACATTGTTCAGTGTTATAAATATTTGTGTTTAGCCTCTTATCAGCAAAGTATTGTTGAGACCAAAAAAATTTACTTACAGAAAAATGAAAGGAGGAAACAGTGCAGGCTGTAAGGCAGAAGACAGTATTAAGTGAAGAAATACAAATAGACACGAGAATCCAGAATAAGTTTAGTAGAAATACAAAGGGAAGAGCATTTATCAGCATTAGCAATAATCCATTTAGTAAGTGCCCATGGCAATCCCAATCACTTCCACCACAGACACAAAAACACTCTTGAAAGGAATTTGCAGCAGTGAGTCAGAGAAGTTCAGATCTTCTCGAAGGCTGCTGTTTAGGTTTTGGAAAAAGTAAGTAAGAGTCACTGTCTCATCTACTCAAAGCAGGCACCAACACAACGCCCACACCACCACCACCACCCTGCCCCCATGTTTTGCCAACAAGTTCAGCAGTACTTTCCACATTTCTTACCCTACTGCTCCTGAAATTCAGGGAATGTGCCATGTAACTAGAATTGGACACTTTCTTGCACTGCTTCTTTGAATCTTCCCTTCATGATGCTACTATCCTGCAGTAGAATCTCCTGTAACATCCAGAACTGCTGCCTACTCCCCACTTGCTGGCTCCTGTAGCTTGAAGCAGAGCTCAGTCATTAACATAGGAATACAGAATAACATAGAGGTGGTGAGGGGTTTCCTGTGTGTTTTGGTTTTGGTGAAAAGAACAAATTCTTTTAACAAACAAAATAAAAACCTCAAATGAATTAAAAACTGCAAATAAAGGAACCAAAAGGAATATCTATTACACAGTTCTCCACTGGCAACTACATCTTTCCTCACAGTTTTCCATTAGAAAACTTAAGTGATTTTGTTTTAACAGAAGTCAATGCCAACCTGAACCCTCAGCAAACTCTCAAGGGATTTGTTGCTCAGCTAAGAAGAGTGTGCCGTAAAAGGAGAAAGGGTGAGAACGGAGGCCCTTATTACAACATGGTTGAAAAGAACAGCAGGTCAGGGCACGGAACTGAATCTTAACATAGAAAAATAAACCAGACATCCTTGAATTAAAATTCTTCAGAGTTTTCTATGCCAGAAACCTCCCCCCCCAGCCAGAACACAAGAAATGGGAACTTTGCACATGAAATTCAGATTTCAGGCCAGCTGTACTTTTAAAATAGAAGTTAATAAATAAGAAACCCAACCTGGTTTGATATGAGGAAATAACATTCTTAGAGCAGTGCTTAAATTGTAGCTATTCAGCCTGACTCCTGTTTGTGTACATACACATCCAAACACATTTGTGAGTTACAGGATTGTTAAACATGCATTCCTCCACTGCCTGCACAATGCCCAGTGTGTTGCAAGGGCAGAGAAGAAGGAGCTGCATCATCAGAGACATGGTCTCTGTCCAACAAAATGCAACCCATGATCAGACCGACTTTGATTCCTGGCAACACCTGCAGATTTCTGGCTTGCATTTTACCTACACTTTCAATAGTACACACACCACAGCTCTCATGTTATTCGGTCCTTGACCTCATGCTTGCTTTTCAGAAGGAAAAGCACATTACAGAGTCCTTTGATGAAGGACTACATAAGAACTCTGCTTTTTGCCTGTTATCAGGCACTGGTTCGCACTATTTGTTCAAGTTCTCAGAAATTTCTCATCTGTCCTTTCACCAACACCTGAATCCTTTTGCACATGCTAAAAGCTGCTGTACTGGAAAAGGTCAGCCTGCTATATCACTGACTTGAAACCTCTGCTGCTGCAAGAATAAGTGTCTCAATTTTATTCATAAATGCATAATGACTGACTGTCCTCACAGCTACATCCCAAAGAAACCACCTTATTCCATGGGTGCCTAATACAGAGACATACCATGATCTTGAATTCCATTCAAGGATATAGTGGACTTCCATTAAAAGGAGACTGTTACGGTTGCATGTAACTGCTCATACTGTCTTTCTCCTGATGAAAAAGAAGACACAACACAGCCACAAAAGTCACATCTTGTTAATGACTTCTTGCAAGAACTGTGCCATTTGTCTTTAGGGGCTGCAGGTAGCAGGGCATATACTGAAGCGTGGTCACTGGCCAAGTCTGCAGAGTTTGGAAGAGTGGAGGTGCAGGAGAGTTATGGGTTCAGTTGTTCAACTCCACTACATACCATTGGAAATATTCCAGCAATGCTCATTCTGAGCAAAGCATCCATTGTGCCAAGCTGCTTCCCCATGTGTCAGGAGTCCTCCTGTCCCCTGACAACTCCTCCCATGAAACTAGGTTGCTGAGGAAACAGCCAGAGCATGCCTGTTATAAGGAGCAAACCATAACAACCTATGCAAGAGGTATAGGTGTTGCTGGGCCAAAAGAGGGGCTTGGAAAGCAGGGTTAACCTGCATGGCTTTGTACCCACTTGAAAAGTTTGCCTTGTTAGATATGATACAGGGGGCAGCATGATGTTGAGGGCAGATACAAAAGAGTCATATTCACTACTGTCAGGCAGATGCAGTAAAGCCATGATCCTTGCGCAGCCTTCCCGCTCCAGTGAGCGCTCATCTCTGCACAGCTGTCACATTCAGAAGAAAAACACAGGACAAGGACCAAAAGGGTCTCAAATTCAGTTTGATTTTCTTTTGCATCTTCTATTTCAGTCAGTGACATACACAAATCTCTTCAGTGAGAAGCTTAAATACTGCCTGTTTTAAGACAAGCCAAGAAAACAAACCAAGCACTAGTAGGCTACCTGAGAGAACAGCTCTACTCTCTCTCATA